TGTCCCTCACTGAGGGCAACACGGATGGGGTTGGGGAAGAGAGAAAAGTTAATAACATTTTACTTCAAAGTGCTGTTCCTTACTCCCTTCCATCCCATCCGTGGGCAGGCAGTCTGCAGAGAGTCAGAGGGCAAGGGGCACAGGTGTTGCCAATTGCCAAGAAGGTCCCAGGGACCATAGAGGCTGACTGGCTGATTGCACCGGTGGGGAGGCTGAGCTTGGGGAAGGGCAAGGCCCCACCTGGCGTGCTACAGCACCACCACATCAGTGCCTGGGCCAGAGCTCAGGCTCGCTATCTCCCTGCCCAGAATGTACCCTTCATCAAAACTTCCAACGGGCTCTGCTCAGTTCTTCCAAGATGGCCCCCCACCCAAGGCCACCCCTTTCCATCCCTCATAGACAAGCAATATGGGCTTCCTGGGAAGGGACCAGAGTTGGAGCAGCCCAGGCTGAGTATCATCCAACCAGGTGGAACTGATGTGAACAGGGCAGGTCACAGCAGCCATCGCCTTTCCCCTCCTGCTGTTGGGGGGCCAAGGCCTTGGGACCCCAGGAAGCCTGGGGCACAGCAGTGCCTCAGGGCAGGAGTTGCTCTCGTTCATCTGAGTTCCCCCTGCCACACACACATCAGGGTCCCGAGGGGCTCCCAACAAGGGAGGGAGGGAAAGAGAGTGAGTGTGTGGGCAGATGCCAGTGTAGGACGGCGAGCCTCCTGGGGTGCAGACACACAGGGACACCCTTTTCACAGGGACACACCAGCCTCTCGGGGAGAACCAGCTTGTGCTGGTGGAAAGGGCTTCACGTGGCTGGGGCCCTCCTCCTTTGCAGAGTGATGGATGGCCTGCAGGGCAGGCAGCGTGGTGTGAACTGCAGGGCAGGCAGCGTGGTGTGAACTGCAGGGCAGGCAGCGTGGTGTGAACTGCAGGGCTCAGGCAGCATGGTGTGAACTGCAGGGCAGGCAGCATGGTGTGAACACAGGGCAGGCAGCGTGGTGTGAACTGCAGGGCAGGCAGCGTGGTGTGAACTGCAGGGCTCAGGCAGCGTGGTGTGAACTGCAGGGCAGGCAGCATGGTGTGAACTGCAGGGCTCAGGCAGCGTGGTGTGAACTGCAGGGCAGGCAGCGTGGTGTGAACACAGGGCAGGCAGCATGGTGTGAACACAGGGCTCAGGCCTGGCCCTGACTGTTGTGTGGCAGATCTTGCTCCTGTCTGGGCCCGTTGGGCTCTTCGACTGGACTCGGTCCTCAGCTCCCCCATGGTCCTCTTCTCCCTTCCCTTACGTGGAGGGCCTCTCCTCCTGTTCTCCTCCCTGTGTCCTGAGGAGTAAGCCCTCCTCTGGCCTTGCCTCCCTACCAGCACCCACCCCACTGCTCGTCTCCACTCAGAACTCAACTTCTCAGAAGCTGGCGGCTGCCGCTGACTTCACTTCCTCACCTCCCACTCCCTCCCCGGCCCCCACAGTCTGACTTCCACCCCCTCAGGCCAGAGGGCTCTTCGAAAGGTCTCCAGTGACCTCTGTCCATGTCACCAGATCCAGGGGCAGTTTTAGTTCCCAACTTGACTGCTCAGCAGTGTTCACTCTGCTGCCCTCCTTTTCCTAAAAACTCTTTCTTCCCTGGCCTTCTCCTCTGGCACCAGCTCATCCTCCCCTTCTTGGGGCCTCCCTTGCTACCCAGACACTAACAACACCCAGTACACACCTCGAGCTCCCACCCCACTGGGCACCAGGCTCCCGTCGCTCTGGCTGCTCACTCAATGGTTCCTTCTGGGGCTTCTTAGCACCACAGACTGCAAAGCTCCAGCAACCCTTGAAACCTGGTCCTCCAACATCCTCAGTCAGACAGCCCAACACCATCCCGCGCTCCTGGCATCTCCACACCTACCCCCATCCATTAGCAAGTCTGGAGCCTCCAGAGCCTCTGGGGAGGCAGGTGGGAGTCCTTGCCCCCACCCAGGCCTCAGGCTCAGATCCTGCACACAGCATGTGTGTGTGCCTAGCAGCCCCCACTCCATCACCCATCCCTTCTCTGGCTGGCTTCTCCACCTCCATGCCTCCACCCTGGCCCAAGCCACCACCCCTCTCAGGTGGCCCGCCGCAGGGCTCCTAGACAGTTCCCTTCCATCCATCTCTACCTAGCAGCCAGAATTATCTTTTAAAAACACAAACAAGGGCCGGGCGTGGTGGCTCATGCCTGTAATCCCAGCACTTTGGGAGACCGGGGCGGGCAGGTCACTTGAGGTCAGGAGTTGGAGACCAGCCTGGCCAACATGGAGAAACCCCATCTTTACTAAAAACACAAAAATTAGCCAGGTGTGCCTTGGGCGCCTATAATTCCAGTTACTTGAGAGGCTGAGGCAGGAGAATCGCTTGAACCCAGGAGGTGGAGGTTACAGTGAGCTGAGATCGTGCCACTGCACTGCAGCCTGGGCAGCAGAGCAAGACTCTGTCTCAAAACAACAACAATAACAAAAGCCACAGACATGATGGACAGGACAGGTTGCTGCTGTTAACCCTTCTGGGCCGTCCCATCGCCCTGAGACTAAGCAACCTTTCGTGCAACCTCCAAGGCCCTGCGCTGTCCAGCCAGTGACTGCCCCTCGGCCCAGCCTCTCCTGCCACCTTCTGCTGCTCACCAGCTGCTCATGGGCCTCCTCCCGAAAGCACACCGTGTTCTTCCTACCTCCGGCCGCTTGCTCTTGCTGTTCCTGTACCTGGAATGCCCTTTCTGTCATCCTGGTCTCAGTCAAATGCTGCTTCAGTCAGGAGGTGGCACAGGTCACACACTCTAGACAGGCCCTGCTATCACCCTCCAGCTCATTTCCCAGCGTGGTGGCCTCCACAGCACTTGTAACTACTGACATTTCTTGGTTGCCAGTTGGCAGAGCTTGCCCTGCCCATATAAGACTCAGGAGGTCCTGGACTGCTGAGGCATCGGCATATCTGTCCATCGGTGCTCAGCACCCAGGGAATGTGACCTCTTGAGTCTCCTACACACCAGCCACCTTCCACCAAGTCCCCTGCCCTGGTCTGTCCTTTCAGGCACTACTGAAAAGCCCAGCTCCCAGTCCTCACCCCGCCCATCCTGTCTCAGAACCGGGAACCTGCAGATCTGGCAGCCATTTGTCATCCTGCGCCCCCTCAGCTGATGGCTTTTCCATTCCTGGACAGAAACTTTAGAAAGTGCCAGAAATGTTTTCATCTTCTTGGCTCAGAGGGAGGGAGGAGAGCGGAGATAAGTCACAGTGGGCACCACCTGACATGGGAGCCTCCCAGACCTCCAGGCAGGCAGGGGAGGGTCTCTGCACCCCAGTCCTGCATGTGAGCTCGCCGGGTGCACACACTTGTCATGGGTGTGGAACACCACATGCCCCTCTACTTGTCTAGAGATGAGGTCACAGACAGACACACACGCAGACACACACACACACACACACACACAGACACAGAATCTCTGCAGGAGGGGCTCAGGACAGGCTGGATGGGAACTTGTCTTGGAGCCGCATTTATAAAGCAGTTATCAAATTTTTGCTTGCACTGTATGTTATAATCTGATTTTTATTTTTTTGAAGCCAAGTTTCCTAAAAGTGTTTTTATCCCCACTTTATGTATTTCCCATATCTGCAGAAGTGATTTATCTTTCTCTCTGGGGATTTTGAGGAGGCTGGTGGAGATTGGGGGAGGGGACAAAGGCCCCCCGCCCCAGCAACCATGTCTTGGTGTAGCCACCGACTCAAGCAGCAGTACCCACGGAAGCACTTTTCACCAGACATCACAGAGACGCTCCACACAGTGGCCCCCTCTCTCTGCCCTCGCCAAACAGGCGTAAAAACCTCCCCTGCCAGCCGGGTTGCTGTGAGACCCTGGCTGTCCCTCAGAGCCTGGCTTTCTTCTCTGAGTAACAGCAGTGACCCAGCTCCACCCTGTTCCCGGCACCTGTGGGCAGCAAGTGAGAAAAGGGAAGTGTGCAGGAGTCCAGGGTCCCTACCCTGGATCTGTATAATATCTGGGAGTCACAGAAGCCCTCACCATGGCCTCCCAACCTCCCAAGATGATGTCCTGAGTAGGGGCGGAAGCTGGGGTAACTCCCTATCTCCTAGGAGGCCACTGTGCTTGAAGCCACACCTGCGGATGAGTCAGCAACGGCACAGCCTTGGAGAAGACACTTCACCTTTCCCAGCCTCAGATCCCTAAAGTTCTAGGTAGGGCAGGTGCCCACGGCCAGGCTGCTCGGGGCCCAGGAGCACGAAGGAAGTGAAAGGAGCGCCTCGTCAGCAGGGTGGGGCTGTAAATGCCCATGACTGCGGCTTTCAGTGGTCGCTTTATGATTCTTGTTTCTCCTTTTTCCCCAGAGACCCTTGGTAAGACTTCATAAACCAAGAAATCAAGGTGGCCTTTGCCAAAGCCTGTCAGGACACGGAAGACCTTGGCCAGGCCCTGAGGAGAACGGTGTGGGGCAGGTGCCTGCACCAGCGTGGAGCCTCCTGTGTATACCCCCTTCCCCCTCCCTGCTCCACTTCCTTCAAAGACTTCCTTGCTGAGCTCCCTGGTGGCCAAACCGTAAGTGCCCAGAGGGATAGTAACTGTTGCATTCCCATACGAATCCTAGAGCTGAACTTGCCTCTCGACACAAAAACAATAAAAATAGAAACCCTCTCCTCCTTTCACATGGTGCTTTGTTCTCAGCAAATGGTTTTGATGCAGAGAGCTCATTACCATGAAAGCAGACCCTGAGGAGCCCTGTGCCCACTGTCTAGCTGCAGGGCCCAAGGCCCACTGGGGAGGAGGTCATTTGCCCCAGGTGGCACAACTGCTTCCGGCAGAAGCAAGGCTGGGACGAGGAAGGGAAGCCCGGCAGACAAGGGCTCCAGGCTCAGCTGGGCCTCCCACTTGCGACATATCTGTTTTGTCATCTCTAAAAGGGGCATTGAGAGGATTCAGAGCTTCTAACACAGGGCCTGGCCCTGTGTTCGCATTTCCCTTAGGAAATGCTCAAAGTACGCTGCCTCCTTCCCTGCCTTTCTCCCCAAGCCAGCCTAAACCTTTGGGCGTCTTGTGAGCACTGTGTCATGAGTCCAGGCCTTGGGACACAGGAACTCAGAAACTCAAGATGGAGGAGGGAAGGTGAGAATTCCTCAGATCTCAGGAAAATGAGATGAGAGTTCTGTCTTACAGAAAAAAAAAAAAAAAACTCAACAGCCAACTTATTAAATTGGCTTCTAACATCAAAGAGTGTTCACCAAATCCCCGCGGGTGATTTCAGAGCAGGCAAGAAGGCCACACGTGGAATTCATTTTCCAAACTGAGGGGAGAGGGGCATGGACCAAGCGGGCAGGTTAAACCCCAAACAAATGTATCCTTTCCTCAAAAGACCCTTTAGAATGGGAGAACTGGCACAAAAACTTTGAACTGAACTGGTGGTTGTTGGGAAAATGTTCTGCCTGAGGGCCACTGTGCCCACAGAGGCCAGGGTGCCCGTATGTGTGTGTGTGTGTGTGTGCACGCGCGCGCACATATAAGAAAAAAGAGGTATGTAAGGATGTGATGACGTATGTAGAATTGGCTTTGGGAGATGCCACTGCCTGTCCCTACCTGTGCAACTTTGGGCCTAACCTTTCTATGCCTCAGTTTGCTCAAATGCAAAACAGAGCCGGTTACTCTTCCATCCCATACCATCATGAGAGTTAAATGAGAGGACTGTGGAAACACCACACCTGGCCCTGCGAGCCTGCAGGAGTGTTGAGCAGGGAGGATCTGCACACATGTGTCTGTGGAATGTGCCCATGGCTTGTGTGTGATTATGTCTGTGCATGTGGTACAGCTGTGGGGACAGGGACAGAGATATGGCCCTGATTTCTCCACAGGCCCTCTGGGTGGCCCCCTTTAGGCCTACGGATTTTCTCTTGGGGCTCCAGTTTCTTCATCTGTAAAATGAGCATGTGGTCTAGGTGACTCCTAAAGCCCCTCTGGGTGCATAGCTGTGTATCTGCCGTGAGCATCCATGAGCATATGCATGGATTCGTGCCCTGGCACCACAGCTGGGCAGGAAGAGACCAGAGCTCGACCAGGACTCCTCTTTCTCACTGCTGTGGACTGAAGGCCTGTGTTCTCCGCCCACATTCCTATGTCAAAACCCCAGTCCCAATGTGATGGTTTAGGAGGTGGTACCTTCGGGAGGTGATGAGATTATAAGGCTGGAGCCCTCACAAACGGGATTAGTGCCCTTGTGAGAAGAGGCCAGTGAGGTAGTTCTTTCCACCAAGGGAGAGCACAGCAACAAGGGGCCATCTGTGAACCTGTAAGAGAGGCCTCACCAACACCAGGGCCTTATGGCAACTTGATCTGGGACTTCCAAGCTCCAAAACGGTGAGAAGCAAATATCTATTGTTGAAGCCCTCCAATCTGTGTTACTCAGTTACAGCAGCCCAAGCTGACTAAGACACCTGCCAGGCGCCGAGTGGCCCAGGCTGGTCTGTTGGTGCCTCTAGGCCTTCTGTTCCTCACTGCACAGGAGGGCCCAGGCCCCTGCCCTAACTGCCTTACAAGGCTGCTGTTAGATCAAGGAGGCAGTGCGTGTGAACACACACTCAACTGAGAAGTGTAGTGCAGATGTGACTTGGGGGGGGTGGGGTGGGTGAACAGATCTGTGTGACCTTGTATATTTAAGTGGACGCCGGAGCTCAAAGGGCCCTTTGCAGGCAGGTGACAGTGAGCCTGTGCCTGTACCTGTGGACATGTGTGGGTTGTCATTGTGTCTGTGTCTGCATGTATGTGCTCGTCTGTAGACATCTGTGCACGCTGTCTATGTATATGTGCATTTATGTGTCCGTGTGTTTCTGTGTATATGCATTTACGGCTTTGGTGTGTCTACATGTATGCAGTTTTACAGTGTATATTATATGTCTGAGCATGTCTGAGCATCAAAATCTGGGGCAGTGGTACATCCCTTCCTGTCCCAAAATCTGGGGCAGTGGCACACGTATCTGTGTGCATACCATGTGTGCCCTTATGTGTGATGTGTGTCCAAGTACCTGTTGTGTGCATGTGTGCTGTTTGTCAGGGTGTGACTAGATTCAGCCATGGGTCTTCGTGCTCTTGGGCCCTCTGGAAGGTTGTATGGTGGGAGCAGCTCTCGCCCCTCTGCTCACTCCCTGAACTGCCGTTGCTGAGAGAGGCTGAGTCAGCTCTGTTCTTAGAGGCTCCTAAGGACTCTAGGAGGAAACTCTGGCTCCAAAGCTGACATACTGCACGTAACTAGACTCCCTACATTGGTCTGTTTTCACACTGCTATAAAGATACTACCTAAGACTGGGTAATTCATAAACAAAAGAGGTTTAATTGATTCACAGTTCTGCATGGCTGGGGAGGCCACAGGAAACTTACAATCATGTCAGAAGGCAAAGAGGAAGCAAGGCAACTCTTATGTGGTGTCCAGGGAGATAGAGAGAGAGAAGGCGGAAGTGCCCAACACTTATCAAACAATCAAATCTCATGAGAACTCACTCACTACCATGAGACTGGCCTGGGGAAACCCCCCACCCATGATCCAATCACCTCCCACCAGGTCCCTCCCTTGACACGCAATTCAGATTACAATTCGAGATGAGTTTTGGGTGGGGACACAGCCAAACCATATTCCCCCAACACACACCAGGGTTCTCACCTCTCTCCAACCTTCCTCCATCAGTTAGGGACAAAGGAAGATAGGCCCATGCCCACCTGGATCCTGCATCGTGCCCCAGTCCAGGGCTGGCCGTTTCCTCCTGGGAGGCTTTATGTCCCATTTCTTCCCCATTTACCTGCTACCTGCTATGTGCCAGGTGTGTGGCAGGAGCTTCACGCACACTGACTAAACCGTGCCCACCCTCTAAAATGAGGGTTATTTGTGCACTTTACAGATGAGGCACTGGAGGCTTCGAGGGTGAAGTGCCTTGTATGTGTCAGCCCATCTGTCTCCAATCTGAGGTGGTGATGCAGGGCTACAAAAGCCCAGAAAAACAGCAATGGTCCCTGGAGGGTTCCCAGGGGAGGCAGCCTCAGTGAGCACACAAGTTCCTCTTCTGCAGAACAGGAGTGAGGATAGCACCTTTCAGGTGAGGCTGAGGAAATCCTCAGGAGGAGCCAGCCCAGCATTCGCATGGGCTTCCATGGACATGTTCAGACAGGAACCCAGAGATACAGCCCCAAGTCATGGTTTACATGATGAGTCAATGCCAGCTGGTGCCAATGAAGGCCCCTGCCTTTCCCTCAGCAGCCTGTGACCATTCACCTGTCCCTTGGAGTACATTCCCAGCAAGGGGACATTTCTAGAGGTTGGGTTCTTGCTATGGCAGATGGAGCTATGGGCTTCCAGAAGGTCCTTGCAGGGCTAGGTGATCTGGAATTGTTTGGTCCCTGGTTCTTCAGGTGGGCACACTTTGGGATGGACTCCTTAGAAAAGTCCAAATACTTTAGCCCTACATAGTCTGGCCCCACCTCATCTGCCCCCTACACAACCAACTCTTTGGCTATGACACACTCCTTACTCTTCTGCAAACCCCTCATGATGCTACATCTTTGCTCTTGTTATTTTCTCTACCGAGATGACCTTGTCCCTTTTTCAACACCTGGTGAATGCCTCTACATCCTTCAAAGTCTAGCTAAAATGCCACCTCTTCCTGAAACCCTTTCCCAATCCTCCTCGGTAAGGAATTAGTAGCTGCCATGCCTGACCCTCACTTGACAGGAGGGACCTTATCTAGTTCCTTCCTTTAGTCCAATGCCCAGGAAGAGGCATGTACTAGAAAGCTGAATTGATGAATGAACAAATTAAGGAACTAACTAGCCCAAAGGCGTCTAATACATAATCTCCCTTCCAGCAATGCCAACCCCTGAGGTCGCCTTCCTGGTTTCTCCTCCGCTGTTCTCTGCATCTGGGCTTGGTTGATCTGATGCTTAGCTGGGATCCCAGCACACCAGGCACAGGCAGCATGTCAGCTCATGGCTCCCCTTGCAGCCCTGCCTCCCCTCACCACTGCCCTCATGCTGCAATGGACACCCTCACCTCCAACCCCTGTACGGGCCTGGAGGCTCTTTCCCAGCTCCCTGTTTCCCACTCCTTCTGGCTAACTCCTTCCTCTCCAAATCTCTGTTCCTCTGCCAATTCCTCCAGGAAGCCTTCCCTGACACAATCCCTTTCACCCCAATGTGCTGTAGGAGGGGTACCTCCTCTGGCCCCTCAGCCCTGGGCCACCCTGTCCGTCACTGACTACACTCTAGGTATGGTCTTGTGTCAGCCTCTCCCTGCAGAAGGGGGCTTCTGGAGGGCAAAGGTGGGTCTGAACCCTGTTTGTGTGACCCCAGTGTCTGGCCAGTAAAGTTCAGTGGGAAAGAAATATGACAGACCAGGGAAGGTGAAGGAGGCTACTGTGGAGGCAGGTGAGCCTCCCTTTAAGGAAATCCATGTGCATGACAATCCAGATTTGCTCAAAAGACAGAGTGGAGTCTACACTCTCACAAAGAGGGAGGTGAAGTGACACAGAGCTGGAGGGAAAGGCCACACATGTACTGAGCGCCTGCTGTGTGCACTGTCTCAGGACCCTGCATCTTCATTAAGCGGTGAGGACACGAGGCTCTGAGAGAAGACTGACTAGCCAAGTGGGCTGCTGCGTTCACCGGGGCTGTGGGACACCCAAGCCGGCTCCTTCTCAAGGGCTGGCCATGCCACCTCCCATGTAGGCTGTGACCTGGACTTCCTTGCACAAGTCCCTCTTGCTGGAGGCCCCAGTCCATCAGGACCGGCGCAGGTTTCTGCGGCCTGAGAGACTCTTTGAGCAATCCACTAGGGGGCAGGCAAGTTGTTCCAGAGTCAACCAGGAGCCCCTCGGGCAACCCTGGAGACTCCTGGACTCCTCCCCACCCCTCCCCAGCCCACAGGCTCCCGGGGCTCGGCAGGGAGAGGGAGGAGGGGGATACACGGAGTGATGGGGTACCCCACGGAGGAGTCCCACATGGGGAACCTCCCTGAATGACTGAAGCACAGAGAGAGTTCTTCAACAGCTCTCTATTTCTCACTGGCGCACTGGGGAGCTGGATGTGGTTTTAGGCTCTGTCAACGTGCAGAGTGTGGGCTCAAGGATATGGAACCTGGCCCCTGTGCATGTGAAACAGCAGATCTCAGGGTCCCCTCCCCACTGGAAAGGCCTGGCCCAAGTTGGCATGTGTCCAGGATGTGTCCAGCCTCCAGACACTGACATTTTCTATGACATAACGCATAGGTGATCATTTGATACCATTCTATCCCGGCTGCTGGCTCCTGTGGCCTATCACACTCTCTCCTGGGAGGCAGGTGTGACTACCCCATCCACAGACAGGAGAAGCATCTCTGATCTGTGCACATTTCCTGGTGAGCCACAGGTTACCCTGACTGCTCTGCCTGGTCTCCTGGCGCAGAAACAGGTGATGGCCCTCTCTTCCCTGTCCTTCTCATGACAACTCTCCACCACCTCCACAATCAGTCATCAAGTCCTGCGCAGCCCGTCACTATGGTCTCCGACTTCGGTCCACAGCAAGGGCACCAGGCTTCATGCTGCTCTCTTGCCTCTATTCCCACCACTAGTCTACCTGCAGCACAGATCTTGCGACGTCACTTTTCAACTTAGCAAGTGTGCACTACTGATGGCCAAGGGCCTTTGCTGAGGAGCCCCTGCCAGCTGGCCCTGCCAGCTCTCTCCCCTGGCTGCCCAGCCCCTTTCTATCCCTATGCCCTGGCCCATCTTGTCCTTCAGATCCCCAATTTCAACCTAGAGGGTTTTTATTCTAAAAAAGTATTCCTATCAGTAGTTTTAATTACCCATTAAGGCCTGGAACCAGCGGGCTAGAGATAACCTTCCCCATCACTTTTGTGTCCGGGTACAAAATCCTTCCAGCTTGAGGAATATCACAATATCCTCTCAGCATATTTTCAGAATTGTTATTACAGACATGGGCTGGTGGGAGCTGGCCATGGGGGCAGTCTCTGTTCTTCCCATGTGTCCACCTTGAGCCCACACTCTTCACTTTGACAGAAACTAAAACCACATCCAACTCCCCAGTGCACCAATGAGAAATGAAGAGTCGGTGAAGAATTTCTGGGAGCCAGAGAAGACAGCGCATCACGGCTCACCATGCAGCCAAACTTCATGAACTTTTTAAAGCCTCAGTTCTCCTTCCAGGAGTCCCTTCCCTAGAAGCTGCTTTACCTTTTTCCATCCTTTTTCCATCACTCCCTTGTCCCCAGATCTCCATGTTGTCCCTAACCCACCAGCACCGAGCCTCAGCTTCCTGGTTCATTGGTGGTGACCCAAAGAACAACTACAAGACTGATCCAAGGTCCAGGAACCCTTTAAAGGGCCGGCTCAGGTCTCCCCAGGCACTGTCTCCAAGGCTTCCCCTGTGGGCAGCCCATAGGAGGGTCTTTATTTCACTAGAAAGAAGGAACTAATGTGGATAGAATATCTGCAACGTACCTCTCACTTCCATCATGCAAAGCAAAGATTATTCTCGCTCTATTTTCGATGCAGCTACTAAGACTCAGTCCAAGGTCACCCAGCAAGCCAGGGGCAGAACTGGACCTCAACTCCAAAGACCCCACCACCTGCACCACCCTGGTGGCCTTATGGGCCCTAGTCAAGTACTATATGGAAAAAGGTGACTCAGACAAGGTCACCAGCTGCAAGGTAGGGCCCAGCGAACGGAGCTGGAGTAGGGTGCAGAGGATGGGGCAGGTGAGGCCAGGTGAAGCCAAGGCCAGCAGCCAGGTCTCTGGATGTGGATGGAGGAGTTGAGGGGGCAGATGCCGGAGTGTGCTGTGGACCCAAGTCAAGGTCAGAACTTGCAGGGTAGGCTGGACATGGAAGAGTGAAAAGGCAGAGAAACGAATGAACTCTGGCCACCCGCCTGGGGAAGCGCACTGAAGGGCTGTTCATTCCCACAGCCACCATGCCCTCTCATTCGGCCTCCTGGACTTACGTAGCAGGGAAGTGAAGAGCCTTTTGAACTGGAGGCTCGGCTTTTTTTCTTTCTTTTTACTGGTATGGAAACCCCACAATGTAGTTTCTGCAGCCCTCACCTCTGGTAACTCTAAATCAGGTGAAAGAGGGAGAGATAGATGGGAAGGAAGAGAGAGAGGGGGAGGGAGAGGCAGGAGAAAGAGAGAGGGAGAGGGACTTCGAAAGAGCTAACTGGGCACAGCTGGGGAGAGCAGGAAAGGGGAGAGGAGATGGTGGAGGATGTATGTGGGTTTGTGATATAGAACCTGGCCCCTGTGTGTCGTGAAAGAGACAGGAAAACGGGAAGTGTGACGTGGACTCAGACGCCCTGGGCCATCAAAGGCTTTTAAGCAGGAGGGTGACCTGGTCAAACCTGTGTTTTGGAGAGACTCCATCTGGCTGCCGTGTGGGGCCTGAGTGAATGAGTGGGAAAAGAGAGATCCTGGGCCAGGAAGCAGTCCTGGGGAAAGGGCCAGGGGAGAAAACGCCAGGCCAAAGAGTGACTGGGAGCTCCGGGAGCTTCCATGTTTAGAGATCAGGTAGAGGAGGAGGAGGAAGAGAAGGGCCCGCAGCAGGATCCTGAAGGAGATGCAAGAGAGGAGAGAGGAGGGCCAGGTGCGGGTGTTCCAAGGTGCCACGGGAAGAGGGCCATTAAAGGAGGAGGGGAAGCTGTGAAGAACATAGCCAAGGGACCTGAACACTGTCCCTCGGTCCAGCCACAGCAGTTCTGCCATGGATGTGCTTGTTGAAATGAGGAGCTGGAGGCAGGTGGAGAGTGGAGGCAATGGAGGCAGCAAGAGTGGCTTTCTTGCAGGTAGCTAGCTCCCTTGTGGGTCTGGCTAGGAGGAGAAGAGAGGAGGGGGCCACAGCTGAAGGGAACCTGGAAGGCCCAGAAGGGGCTTGTGAAACAGGGGTGTGTACAAGAGGGCTTGCCCAGAAGGTTCCCCCAGGAGGCAGGCGCTTCCTCTGCCAGCAGGAAGCACAGCCCATCCACCAGGAGGCCAGGTGGTCACTGATGCCAGCAGAGGCAAGTTTGGTTTGGGGAGTCAGGTTCAGGCCTCAAATCCGGGTCTCCTGACCTCAGCATCACAGGAGAGAAAAACCGGCAAGCAGGCTGAAGTCGCACAGCCTAGAAGAGGTCAGGGAGTGGCAGCCCTGAGGCCACATATCCCCTTTTTAAGCTTCCAGACCTGCAGAGAGATTGGCTTGGTGACAAGGCCTGCCATCCATCCCTCAGTAGACAGGATGCAGAACTCTGCATTCTGGAGCCCCAGCCCAGCTCCCAGGGCCCAAAGCTCACAGCATCCCAGCTGGATTAATCATGAGATTCCTGGGAGGCCAAGGGAGTCTGTCTGACTTATTTAGCCCAAACTGTGTCCTTTCCCCTCCTTTCCTTTTTCATGTCAGGAAACCAGCCCTAGTGGAAGCCACTTGACTTATGTGTGGTCTGCTTCTGAGAAAAATCAGAGTCACGAGCCATGCGAGATGACAGCCTAGTTCCCATGAGCATGTGCACCCATGCCCGTGTATACAGGCGTGCTCACGTGTCTTTGTGTGTGCACATCCATGCACACAGACAAGAGGCTTATCTGTGCTCTCTGTCTGCTGTGTGTGCGCTGGTGCACTGGGTTTGAGGAGCCTTGGTATTTTAAGTCTTCAATGTACATACTGGTTGTGAGCTGTATTTGTGTGCAATGTGTGTGGTATGTTTGTGAGTGTGGTGTTTGTGTAGGATATATGGATATAGTGTGTGTACACTGTGTATGCTCAATGTGCATGTTTGTGTTGTGTTTTGCACGTGTGGTGTTTAATTGAGAGTTGGATTTGTGCAGGGTGTATGTAACCATGTGTGGTGACTGCGACTTTTGAGGGCGTCTCTGAAATGTCTGAATGTTTGTGAGTCGTGTGTGTGCCTATGTGAAAGTTGTGTGTGAGGTCGATGCATGCTTGTTGTTTTCATGAGTCATGACCCTGTGCATTTCGTGTTGCCTCTGAGGATGCATATGAAGGATGTATGTGCGGCTGTGGCTGGGCTGCTGCAGGTGCACTGTGTCTGTGGGGCGAGCGCATGTGGCTCTCATCAACAGGTGGAAAAATGCCATGGGGGAGGGGTAAAAGTCCAATGCAGCAGAGAGGGCAGCCCCGCTCTTGCCTCCTCCTTGCCCCTGTAGAGCCTCAGCTTCCCCTCAATGGACAGTACTTGAAGGACTCTAGGAACACCCCATGGTCATGAGGAAGATGGCAACATGACTAGGACAAGATAGGGGCTCTGTGACCTGTGCCTAAGAAGACCCTGTCCCTGTGACAACTGGGTGTGCCCAGGCCTCCGCCCCCTCGCTTGCCCCTTGAGGGCTTCCACCTGCCCTCCTGAGGAATGCTATACCCTCATGCTGCCCACCCACACTGTCCCCGAGGGGCAGCCACAGCTACATTCCAGGCAGGTTTCCTCCCTACATCCCCTGAGCACAGCCAGGGGAAGCTTCAAAACCGCTTCTCTCTCCCTGAAACGAACCAGCACAAAGACCATAGCTGCTGCCAAAACCCTCAAATGCTGACCTGGGCAGGGAGCACCGCAAGCTGTGCCACTGACTGGCGAGCAACAGCTTAATACAAGTGCACTCACTCTTCAGACTGCCCTAGTTGTCCATTGTCCATCGCTGCCCTCACTCTACTGGGTTCAGAGGTGAGGCCACCAGCCCAAAGTAACACAGCAGTGAGTGGTACGGCAAGGATGGGAATGTGGGTGGGTCTCTCTCCGAAACCCAGGTTGCTTCTCTTCCTCCATTCTGCCCTTCTCAGTCCCCTCCTCACCCCACCTAAGGTGGGAGGGGGAACACAACTACACACAGAACATTTAGATAATTTGTTCTTTGGGCTCATTAATGCTCCTTCAAGTGACGATATGATCTAGTATTCAGTGGGTAGGCGCTGGAGCCCCACTGCCTGGACTCACCCATACTGGCTGTGCAAGCTTAAGTTAATTACTCATCCTTGCTGCATTTCCTCACGTGTCATCTGCAAAATTGAGCTGCTGCTGCTGCTAATAATAATAATAATAATAATAACTACCTTCTTGGGTGTAGTTAAGGATTGAATGGGTTGCAATATGACAGCTGCATTAGAAAGTTGCCTGGCCCAGCCTATTCCCTTCCCAACTTGAAATTACTCACAGTAAGAAAGATTAATAATTCTATTAACCATAACCTTTACATTTCATTCCGTCGTTTCTGCGATGCAGTGTGGAGCTGGTGTTATCCACATTTCATAGGTAAAGACTGGGCAACTGTGAGAGCAGAGGCCAGGGCCTGCCCCGAGCCCCACCACAGAGGCTGCCTGCTCCTCATCAGCGCGGTGCTTCCCTGGAGCAGTGCGTCTCAAAGGGTGGTCTGAGGACTGGCAGCATCAGCACCACTGAGGGTTTGCTGGAGGTGCAGATTCCGGGCCCCACCTCTGACCTACTGAACCAGGCTCTCTGGGGTGGGGCCCGGCAATCCGTTTAGCCAGCCCTCAGGGATTCTGATGCTTGCCAAAGCTTGAGAAGAACTGGGCTAGACCTCTGAAGGGGTTGCTCTGTGAACCCAGGAGCACCCCACGTGAGGCCTGTGGAAGAAAGTGGAGGAGGAAGAGAGTCAGACCCTTGGCCCACTGTGTGACCTCAGGCCACGTCCTCATCCTCTCTGGGCCTAGAATCTGTCATATTTCTTGGCATGGGAGTAGAGGAGGCAGGGAAGATTCTCTGAAATTCATGGCCACCTCTCCTCCTCTGTGCCGGTGCCCTGCTCCTATGAGTGCTGCTTTCAGGAGCTCACGTGTTTGCAGCCACCTCATCCTGGCCTTAGCTCTGTTGCTGTTTTTGGTACCTTGGAGATGACACTTTGTGACCTCATGGACCATAACCAAAGCCCAAAGTGGTAAACACTGGATCATCATGAAAAGGGTACATCGGGTTTAGCCTTTAAGCAGTTAAAGCGGAGGAAAAAGTTGCATGGCTCAAAAGCACAACCCCTCGGGTTCCCAGCAGCCTGGTGCTGCAGAAAGCTGCGGTTTCATGGTCCACAGCTCAGCACAGCATCAGGTTGTGGAGACGCTTCTGATCCTGCCCTGCCTGGTCCATCCCCCCAGCTCCCTTGGGGCCTCTGAGAGCCTCCAGTCCCTTCAGCCACAGTAGTCACTGACGGGACTCTGAGCCAGGAGCCTTTCGTGTGGTGGTTGTGGGGTATGTGGGGCCTCACCAGCACCTGCTTCCCCTGCCTTGGTAACGCTAAGTGCTTCCATGAGGGGGTGCCTCGTGCCTCCATCGAGAACAGAAAACCAGCAGAGTTAAGTCCTCATTCTCTGGCCACGAATGAGGACTTGGAGCCTGAGGACTTGGATGGGCCTGCCCACCATGTCCGCTGTGTGACCTCCAGCAAGTCACAGAGTCCCTGCAGGCTTCATCTCTCTCTGTAAAAGGGGGCAGAGATAGGCCTCCCCTCGTCGGACAGCTATGGGCAGGGGATAAGTAAAGAACCTGGCCCCAGGCCCGGTCCTGCAAGCCCTTGATATTCCCACTCAACAGACCAGCTACTCCCCACCACTGGGCCATTTATAACATCCTCCTGCCCCTCCAGGGGGTGGCCTAGAGATGGTGTGGCCTGAGCCCATTTGCCCTAGGGAGAAAGTGAGGGGAGTCAGGGGAAGAACTGGGGAACCCAGGGTTCTGCCCTAGAAGGCAGGGCCCAGAAGGGGCTCATGAGGTAACTCCCAGACTCTCAGGGGCTCATGTGGGTGCTGGGCAGAAGCAGGGAGTGACATCTCTGCAGTGAGATCTGGCCTGAAAATCAGAAGACCTTGGTTCAATTACTGGCTCCATAGCTGTGCTGTGTGACTTTTGGCAGTTACTTAACCTCTCTGAGCCTGGTCAGTAATTGAGAATAAAGGTCTCTGAGTTTCCTGGTCAGTCATTGAGAATAAAGACGCCTAACTGGAAGGCTGCCTATACTCTCATTTGCCACATGAGATGAAGGACTGACCCACAGCGAGCGGTCAGCAAACAGCAGTGGAGACTAAATTGGCAGTCTAGGGTGCCATGGGCCTTTCCACCCTGGTTCTACAGTTAGATCAGGACAGCAAGGCTCAGAGAGGTTTAGCAGCTTGTCCAAGGTTACACAGGATGTGCACATCATCGCCTTTCTGGGCCACTAGCTCCTGCGTAGGACCCTCAGGTTTCAATCTGGCCTGAGGTGAAATCCTCCCAGGGAGCCTTAAGCCTGACTTGGTGCCCGAGCGGATTTTTTCATCTCAGAATGGTAGTCCTGAGGACACAGGAAGAGATGCATCTCTTATATCTTCACTGACAATGCATGAAGGAATGGAAGCATTTCCACAAAAATATCAACACCGTGAAGCCTTAGCTGTCTGTTGATGGGCTGCCCAGGAGAACTCCCCATTTCTGGAGGTGTGCCAACAGAAGCTAAGTGACACTGGTGAAGAAGAAAGTTGGACTTGGTGGCCTTTAAAAGATCCTCCACAAGGCTGCCAGGCAAGCCTGAGTCTGCTTAGTTTCCACCCACCCTTCCTCCTGCAAACTCAGGCTCTGCCTCCCGGACTTGGCCTTCAAGGCCTCTGGACTGAATCATCCTCTGTGCTCTCATCTGGCCCGGGAGTTCCAAAAAGGTAGGCATTGGACATTTTTATTCAGCGATTGTCCTGGGCCCACCAGAGAAGAGAGGTCGTGTTTACTGAGCAAAGGTCCCCGCAACCAGGAACTTCACACATGTCGTTACAGGCCATTCTCATACACCGGGTACTGTTATTAGTTTCACTTTTCAGGTCAGCAAACCGAGGTCAGGAAGGTCGAGCAACCTGCCAAAAGTCACACAACAACATGACTGCCGAAGAAGTGAAGAGATGAAGGAAGGGGCGCTGAGCCTGTGGGCTTCCCGGCTTTTAGCCTCTGGTCCCCAGAGGCATCTGCAGCAGGTGGCCACACTTGGTTGCCCATCTGCCTCAAATGTTGGGGAGCCCCATCCGGGCACTGAGTAAGGTGGAACCCCACGAGCTGACTAACCACAACCACAGCCTCTGGGGGGCGGGGGAGTGAGAGGCAGGGCACTCACCCCCAGCCCACCATAGCCCCAGCCCCGCCCTCCTGGGCCCTAGCAGAAGCTCTGCCATAGCCCAGTGATTTCTGTTTGGTAGCAGCTCCGGGAAGGGTGAGGCAGTGCTCAGTCAGCCTGGGCCTGGATGGCGGGGAGCTGGTCCGATACGCAAGGCCAGGAACTGCCCGAATGATCCAGTCACTCTGCTCATACTGCAGGGCAGCTTCAAAGCACTTTCCTGGACATTTGGCCCCTTGGACAGGGACCTGGAAAAGGAAGCCCGCAGGATAGAGGAGTATCCACCAACTGCCACAATAAAGGCAGTGAGAAGTTGCCTAACAACCACTGGGTGCAGGCTCCAGCTGGATCCATTGCACTTAGTTCTAGCACCAACTCCAAGTAGTAGCTACTATCTTTCCCACTTTACAGATGGGGCACTGAGGTTCCATTTGACCAAATGGAGCACTAGAGACCAGGGAGGGGGCTGGATGGACCAGCTAGGACCCTATGGACATAGATCTGAGGCCTTGGGTGGCTGGGAGGGAAGAGAAAGAGGTTTGGATACCTTTCCCAGGCCCTGCTGAGAGATTCCTTACCTGCACCTCCTGCCCATCCCCTCAGTGCAGCTCAGGCCTCCTCCTTAGGGAAGCTTTCCCTGATTTCCTCCTCTAAGGCTAGGTCAGGCCCCTGGGGCACCTGCTGTCACAGCTTGTCCTCTCTGGGTTGACCCCATCTGCTCAGATCCATCTCCACAGTAGACTGAACAGGCAGAAGAAAAGACAGTAACTGTAGGGACTTCAGGAAATCCCACTTCTGAGCCCAGCCTTACCCTGATTTGCCAGAAGGCCCTGGGTGGTCACTTTCATGCCTGTAAAATGGGGCACCCTACCCTACTCTAGGGCTGGTGAACATCAGGGAAGAGAAACACTGTGGAAGAGGCACCTTCCACCCCCAGAACCAGGACCTGGAGGACAGCCAGGGCCCCTCTCCTCTAGGGACCCGCATCCTGGAGCCCACAGGCAGCAGAGCAGGGTACCTGTGATTTGGTGGGGACAAGGCATCTAGAAGAGGGGTGGCTTTGGGGAAGATCTGCTTCAACCTCCGATCTAAACGACAATACCGCCACCCTATATTTGCACAATACTTTAAAAAATCGGCCAAGACAATACCCAAACTGAAGCAGACTTAGCTTTATGGACAGAGTGGGCTCAAATCCCTGATTCTTACAAGCTGTGTGACTTTGGACATGCCACTTAACCTTTCTGAGCCTCAGTTTCCCCAACTATAAATAGGGACCTTACTAGTCTCAGACAATTGGTTTTCATGTGTACACACTGCCCCCGCCCTAGCCTCAGTTTCTCCGTCCTAAAGCTGAGGACTTTGATGGTGCTATTTCACAGGCTGTTGAAGGGCCCCGCAGATGATGGAGGAGTACGGGTCTAGACGCTAGAGCACAGTTCGGAGAGGAAAAGTGACCTGCCAGGACCCACCAGAGCGGACGGCTTGGTGCGGGGAACCCCCTCCGCTGCCGCCCCAGGGCCAGAGAAGGGTCATTTCCTTCCGCATTCAGCCCCGCCGTCACCTCGCCTGTTTGCCCCCGCGTTAAGTGCGGCGGCGCCAGCAGCTGGGAAATCGGGGCCAGGCCGGATTTCCTCTGTGGACCTGCGGCTCCTAGAGCCACCGCGCCCCCCTCCGGACCCCGCGGGGCCGCGAACTGCACGTGCGGCGGCCACCGGGACAGGCCTAGCTCCCACAGCGCTTCCTCTGCGACCCCTCTCCCTCCTGCCCTCTCATCTCACCCCTCTGGGTCCCCGCCCCTTCCCGGTCGAGGTCCCAGGGTGATGAAGATGCTTCGCCGCTCCGCCCCAGTCCGCCTCCGCCAGCTCCGGATAAACCGAGGCACGGGGCCAGGCGCTAGGACCCCGCGGCCTCGCCGGAGGGGGGCGTGGCGTGGCGTGGCGGGCCGGCGGGAGAGGTATTTAAATTGCAGCCGGAGCGCGGGGGCTCCGGTGGGGCAGCTGAGCGGCCTGCGCCTCCTCGGGCCGTGACCCCGGGGTCTGGCGCGGGGTGGGACCCGGGGGCGGGTTTGCGCAAAATGTGCCAAGACTGCCCGGGAGAGGAACTGCGGCCGCGCTGAGCCAGGTAGGAGCCGCCAGGCGGGCGAGGTGGCCGGCCCTCGGGGGGCGCACTGTTGCGCGCCCCTCGAGAGCGCAGGGCGGGGTGTGGTCCCGCGAGACGCCCCTCAAACCCTACCCTCCCGCCGTCCCCACTGCGCGCGTGGGGCTGGGGCTGACCCTCCCTCGGTTCCTGGGAGGCCCCCAAGGCTCCTGTCTCCGCGGAACTTCCCCGCAAAGGAGTGAGGCCGAGGTTCCCATTTGACAGCTGGGAAAACAAAGGCCTGAAGACCGGACTTGCCCAGGAACACACAGCTAGGCAAGGGCAGACCGGAATTTGAATTCACGTTTCCTGCAACGTTCCGATCCCGGCCAGGCGTGGGGCTGCCCATCCCACAGCACTAGATGGCCTGCCCATTTCTCGTAGTGGGGTGGGAGGCACCTACCGCTCTGCAAGGGGCTCTGAAACCAGCCTTCTTCATGGCTGGTAAGATGTGAGGGACCCCCACCCCCACCCCGAGCTGCCTGAAATTCCGCCATCACAGCCACATTCCTTTGGGTTAAGGTCTAATTCCCCCGTGGGATGCACATGTCTCCAGAACGAGGCTTGCCCTTAGTGATTCACTGCTTGACAGGAACGTCCGCAGCAGCTCTCCCAGGACCCCACTCTGCCAGTAAGTCAGCTGAGGCCGAGAGGAGGGAGAGAGGACCTCAGAGCCCAGATTGTGAGCTAGTCTGCCCTGCTCCTGCATGTGAGGGGTCGTTGGCAGGGCTTAGGGAAGGAGACCTTGGTCCGGTATAGTGGAAACATTTGCTTTGGAGGTAGATGAACTGGATTCTGATCCTGACCCTGCTATTTGCTCCTTGTGTGACTTTAGGTAAGTCACCTCTCTGAGCCTCCTTTTCTTCATGGGCAAAAGAAGACAGTTCTATGGGGGGAGTCGGCTCAGCTTGTGCTGGAGAAAACACAGTATTCAGGTCATGTAGAACTGGATAAATCCGAGCTCCAAAGCCCTTATGAGCTGGGTGACTCTGGGGGTAAGTCACTTCACTTTTCGGAACCTGTTTTCTCAACTGTAAAATGGGAATTACAGTAATTGCCTCAATAGGTGATTGTGAGAATTAAATGAGGTGATATAGGTCAAGTGCTTAAAAGACTGTCTAACATCCTTAAATGTAGGGGTGGGCTTATTGTGATAGTAGTCATTGCCCCCCGTACCCCTGCTCTCTTACCCCTGCTCTCTTCTCTCTCTGTCTCTCTCTCTCTCACACACACACACGCACACACACACACACACACATTCTTTAGCACTTTTCTGCCTCCTCTTGCCCAGGCCACTTGTCTGCAGGCTTGGGGCCTCCCCACTGAGCACACCTCACCTGGGATGCTCAGCCCTGCGGGGGTCACTGTGCCAGCTGGAAGGACAGTGAGGACGCAGGGCACCTTTGCTGCTATTCTTTGCTGGATCATCACAATAGTTGGGGTTGGCCAGTGGCAGAACTGGAACCCAGCTGCCTGCCCTGCAACAGGACACTGGGGCACCAAGAAATGAAGGAACTTACCCTAGGGAGCAGAGCTGGTGAGTGGTGGGCTTTGGATACATGCCTGGGTCTAAGTGACACCGTCCTCCTTTTTGAGAGAGAGTAGTCTTGGACACCACTGAGGAGGGCCCACAGCTGAGGGGCCCTTCCTGTCAGATGCCAGGACAGAGTGCCCATGTGCTGCAGGGACGGTCCCTTCTGGATGTGCACAGGGCCACCTTGGGGATAGAGTGGGGTTTGGCAGAGGAAGGGGAAATAAGGGCCTAGGACCCTTCCTTGTCCTCACCTGGCACTCTCTACTCAGTCTGCTGCAGCTGAGCTTCTGCCCTGACTTTGCCACTTGTTCACTAGTCTTTAGTGAGCACCTACTTAGCAGGCCCCTGTTCCCACATGATAAGGAATAAATGATGAGGAAATGATGTGAGGAGCTGAGGAAGAGCATTCAGGGAGAGGAAACCGCAGGAGCAAAGGCCCTGAGGCAGGAATGAATTTGCTGTGTTGAAGGAACAGCAAGAAAGCTGGAATTTAGTGAGGGAAGGGAAAATGGACAAGAGTCAGAGAGGAGACTGTGGATGGCCTGGATTTTCTTGGAGATTTTCAAGCAGTAGAGGTTTAGGGTCTGACAGATGATTTTATCTCTCTGGCTGCTAGGTATAGGACAGATTATAAGGGGTCAGGGTGTTGTGGTTAAGGCTGGTATTGGGGTGGCATCTCAGTCTGTGGCAGTGACAAGAGGGAAGTAGGAAGATCTGGGGTCTCTTTTTCAGGGAGAGCAGTCGGAGCCCACTGATGGCACAAATAGGGGAAGGGAATGTAGCAGGGAGGTGAAGGGAGAGCCAAGGAGAACTGCTGTCACTAACGACCCCATGTCACCAATGCTCCTCGTGTCAGTTCTCTGTGCCGCTGCTGACCTGCTGTGTGCTGTGAGATGCATCTCAGGACGGTGAGCCCCTCTCTAGGGGCACTTGCCATGGGAGGGGGGCGGGGCACAGTAGCCACGGAGGGCTTGGTGCTGTGCTCACTGGAAGCTTGGGGGCTCTGGGAGGACTGGAGGACATAGCCCAGACTTGGGGAACCAAAGAAGACCTCTTGGCCCATCTAAGCTGGGACCCCAAGGATGAGGAGGTCTTTAGTAGAAGAGGAGAGGGGAGGAAGTGAAGGTTTGGGGAAGGGAAAATCTGCTCAGGGAACTGATAGAAATATGAGATGTCCAGAATCCAGAGTGTGAGAGGGGACACCGGGGAAGGAGGCTGGAGGGAAGAGCTGGCCGGGCAGGGCATGCTCCCCAACGGCCTGGAAGGCCCTGCAAAGGGGTTTTCACTCAGTTCTGAATATGCTAACTTTTTAACCGGCGGTGGCGTTCTGCTCTTTAAACAGCAGAACAAAGTTTCCTGTGAAAGCGCAACCTGTAATGCAGGTGAGAGCAGAGCAGTTGCGGGGGCAGCGCCCGTGGCCCTGAGGGGAGCCAGGGAATAGGGTTCACGGGTCCGGCTGTGGTCTGTATGCCTTCAAGCGAGATGGGATTCACAGCAGCCATCTTCATCCAAAGCTCATCATTAGTGGGTTCCAACAGTCAAAGACGCTGCCCTCGAAAGCCCTGTAAATGCCTTTTCTCCTGCAGCATCCTTCAGAATCGCGGTTCAGCACTCACTCAGGGAGCACCCACTGTGGGAGGCCTGAGAGTGTGAATTTGAAGAGCACAGACCCAGGATCCAGACTTGCCTGGGCCAGTGGCTTGTTCACCGCGTGACCTCGGGCGTAGTACCTAAGCTCGCTGAGCTTTCTTTTTCCCTTCTGTAAAATGATCATGGAACCAAGTCATTGAATTTTTGTGAGGATGGAATGAGTTCACGCCTAGAAAGTGCCGAGAAGAGGGCCTAGTGCATAATGGGGGCTCTGGTAGTGGCATCTCGTTTGATTCTCAACAAAACTTGGCATGGCTGCCATTAACCTCAAATGAGGAGACTGAGGCTCAGAGAGGTGAAGCGACTTGTAAGGTCACACAGCAGGAAGGTAGAGGAGACAAGAGGGAGCAGTCGGATGTGGGTGACTGTGCGCCTGGTGCTCTTGGAAGGCTTTCTGTGTCCCGCTTTAAGACTCTCTGTATCGCTGTCACTTCTTTTTTGTGTTCATTTGTTTTCTGAGTTCCCGGTTCCCAGCACAGAGCCAGACATGAGGAGGTATTCAGTAAAGGTGTGAATGAATGAATGAAATTCATGGATGGATTTGTATATCCCTAGCACTTGGCCGATGTCCTTAGTAAGGGGGTGAGTGAGCCTCCAGCAGCACTGGGATTTGACCGTGCTGAGGGCCTGTGCAGTCCCCTTAGCCCCACCCCTGGCTGCTCTCAGAAGGAAGGGCTGGCCCAGGAGGCCAGAGTGTGGCTTCAGTGAAAGTACAGGGCCTGCCAGGCTGCTCCTGGGGAAGTCCGCAGAGCAGTGCTGGGGCAGCCAGGCCTCCTGTGGGGCTTCCTGTCAAGGCCCGGGCCCAAGCCTTGAACAATGGCAAGGGCTCGAGAATCAGAGAATCAAAAGGAAAAGGGCAAAATAAAGGTGGGGGAGTGGGCAGAAAACGAGGAATTCCATATGGGGACTGAGGAGCTGGTATGGAGGACTTGTGTGGCCTGGGTGGAAATGTAGTCAGAGGCCCACCCTCCAAACCCCCTCTACATCCCCATGCCCCCATTCCCTGGCCCTGAGCATGGCCTAGGGTAACCCTTAGGGTCTGTCAGCCTTCTGTGCATCCCCTCCGGGCTGTCTTCCGCCGGGTGGGGTCTTTTGAAAACCCCCATCTGGCCAAGTCCCACCTGCCGCTTTAAAACTCTTGCTTCCCCTGGGTAACAGGCGGCTCCTTGGCCTGGGTGAGAGGCCTACTATGATGGGCTGCAGGCCCATTTCCCACGCGGCTCTCCCCTGCTCAAAGCACCTTTACTCCAGCTCCAGCCGTGCTCTGAGGTTCCGAGGGCAGGCACAGAATGGGTGGGAGTGGGGACTGGCAGTGGGAAGGAGCCAGTGGTCTTACAGTGTTCCCCTTTCCTCTCTGCCCTACACAGAGCCATGAGCCCCCAGATCCTGCTGCTCCTGGCCCTGCTGACCCTAGGCCTGGCTGCACAACACCAAGACAAAGTGGCATGTAAGATGGTAAGATGCTCTGCCCAGACAGGGTGAGGGCCACCCCCACCTCCCTGCCCTAGGGTGTGCTAGTGCCCCAGCCCCCAAAGCCAGAAGTTAGAAGAGTCAGGAGAGGAAAGGGAATGTGCCTTGCATTTCATGAGCACCTACTAGAATGTTTAAACACCTCGTTTACCCAACAATCCTGCCAGGTAAGCACCATTATTCTCATTTTGCAAAGGAGGAGACTGAGGCTTGGAGAGGTTGTGACTTTTCCAAGGT